CCAGCCAATCTATCCAAAATGCAGCGCGATTTTCAAAGACAACATTGATAAATGTGTATGATAAAAATGTAAATAAAAACGTTTGTAAATATATAATATGAAAATACTGTTATAAAAGCCTCGTAAAATAATAAAAATACATAATAAAAGTAAAATAATTATAAATAGATACATTGATCAATAAATTAATAAGTAAAATAGTAATATAGAAGATTAAATGATTACGAATAAGAAATAAAAAAACATTATTCATAAGAAATTATTAAACATTATCTTACTAATGCAACATTACTAACATGCTAACATTATCATGACAACATTACTAACATGCTAACATGCTAACTTGCTAACATTATCTTACATTATCTTACTAGTATATAAAATTGATATATTTGGCATTTGAATTGTTATATAATATTTTACAGTTTACAAATATTCATCTGACCTACTCTTTTTAATGTCACTGTGAACGAGTATAATTCTGGCTAGCCGATTTCTTAGCCACTTACTAATTCACGACGTCGACTACGGCGTAAGAGCTAACACCGATGAATTTTGCTTCGTATTATCGGAATCCTGTTATCTGATTGGATGCAAAGCGTCGTACGACGAAAATCGGATGCAGTGTGAATCCAGCATTAGGGCCCTGGCACATAAAAAACTTAAGGCAGTAAGACGTAAACAGTAAAGCCCATGGCACATACAAAAACGTAAGGCCGTAAGACATAATCAGTAAGCGAATTGGCCAATCACAATAGAGACCGTAAGGCCAGTAGCGAATCCAATCTTACGATTTCTTTACTGCTTACGTATTACGGCCTTACGTTTTTGTATGTGCCATGGGCTTAAGGAAATCAACATGTTGGATTCGCTATTGCTTATGTTATGGTCTTACGGACTCTACTGTGATTGATCAATTCGCTTACTGCTTACGTTTTACTGTTTAAGTTTTTTTGTGTGCCATGGCCCTTATCCTGTTAGAACCTTTATCCATAATCTCGCAATAAGGCGAATTTCAACCGGTTGAAACTCGCCTTATGGATAAGTTTACTGCCTTTGGCTGCGTTCAGCAGAACGGTTGTTTTGCAACTGTTGGAAGTTTCCTTCGCGCTAATTGGATCATACTTTTAGATCTAGAAGAATGGTCTTATCTCAGCAAACAATTATAAAACGGTTGCAAAACTGTTGAGTCTGCTGAACGCAGCCTTTGACTATATACAACTGAACTGCCAGTAGCCAACTTCAGACATGTCTCCAAGGTGTGAGTTCACCCGAGTGCACCCGGATGAAGTTTCCGAACGCAGCCCTATAGGAAAATATATGGGTGCTGGATTTTACATATCTATGGTTTATCTTATATATTTATGTGGTTTCTTCAACACTATTGCTGGATTCACACTGCATCC